ACTTTAATAGCGTATCTTTGACAGTCATCATCTGTAGGCGACTAGCAATTACGAGCCTCGCCCGAGATGCATGGAGACTGCGCTAGAGTTTTTAACTGATAACTTCTAGCACAGCTTCGTTAGCTGTGGATTAGCTCCGTAGCGCTGCCAACTTCATCGGGTGATACAACACGACTCAGCAAACTGTTTGTCAATACGTCATGGGTCGTAATTTATGGCCGGGGCGAAATGATACGCCAAGTACCAGCGCTTTCACACGTATCCTTTGACGAAAGGTTTCTGCAGTGGATATGCTTGGCGGACTCGACGTATTTGAAACTACGCACGTTGAACCGACAGTTCCGGCACCAAAATCGGATAAAATACTTTTTTTTTTTTCAGAGCACGAGTACTATTTCCTGATCCGTATTCCCCGACGATTATGTAGAAACAGCCGGAACAGTAAAAGCGTCTCCAGAATGGCAAACTGTGCACAAGTGGAGAGCGAATTGCATTCGCGAACTCCCGACCAACGCAAAACTCTGGAAGAATGGTGCGGTCGGTAGTCGTGACGCTAGTTGTGGCCGTCACAGTGGCCCCCTCGACGGTGGAGGGCTACGCGAAGTACGTGAAGCTCGTCCCGAACGGTGGCAACGTGCCCGACAACTCAAACATTGGGCACCTGGATCCAGCAGGCGAGACTGGACTCAGCGACTTCGGCGAGGCGTTCTCCACCGCTGGAAATGCCTGGACCGCCGCGCTGTGCCAGGCAGACACGGACGGAGACGGATTTACCAACGGACAGGAGCTCGGAGACCCGTGCTGCACGTGGACGACGGGCAGCACAGCTGGACTCGTCACGGATGGCGTGAGTGACCCGTCAGACGCCTCCAAGACTCCCACAAGCAGCGAACTTAAGGCAGGCTGCTCCAGTGGTGGCACTTCTACCTCTACAAACTCCACGGGCAGTGGAGACTCGATAGGAGACGTGGTGGGCACCGTCGCCCCCGCCGGGCCCACCACAGGCGGCTTGCCCCCTGATGACGACGAGGACGACTCGTCGGAGAGCGCCGTGCTAACTGCCGGCGCCTCGATGGCGACTATCAGCAGCGTGACAATGGGCCTTGTAACTGCGGTGGCTCTTGCCGTGGTATTGTAGACTTAGAGAGCCGCTGCATGTCAACCTGCGGTCTCCACGGCCGCGTTTTAACGTTAACAAAAAGTATTTTCTGGAGTTTTGTGACGTGGAGCTGTTGTATTATGTGTACAATTCCCAGACATATTGTCGCTTTGTGCTGTGGCAGATATTTGCTCATAGTCAACGAGATCCGCGGCGAACACTGGAAAGCAGACGGAGTGATGGTAGAATTGCACCTGATCGCTTAGTTGGGCGACGGAATCACAAACACGATGATCAGAATCACCACCAATACCGCGATAACACCGTATAACTTGCAAGCCTGCAAACAGTAAAAGGTCAGTTGCCTAAACTCCAAAGCTTAGCATTTTGTGGCACGTGTATCAAAAACTTGCCTTCTTTTTGCGGGCGTTGACCTCCCGTGCCGCTTGCTCTTCCCGTGCAATGTCCCGAGTTGCATTGTCCATTCGCTGCAACAGCAACAATCGTGTGCCAAAGAATTGTTAGTTTCCATTGTCCCTGCCGCCACAAAACTCTCCACAACTGTAAAGCGTACGTTGCCAATGTCGTCAATCATGATGTTCTGCTCCACAACTTCCCCGTTAATAGCGTGCGCCTGGTTCTTGAGACCCACGACGCCACCGTGGATTTGGTCCAGCAGAGCGTCTTGCCGCGCCTGGTCGTCCGCACGGCGTTGGTCGAACTGCTGCTGTGCGTCCATGTTGCGATAGTTCTCCTCACCACGGGGCATGATTCGGGCTCTGTGTAATGCGTCGACAAGTACGAAGGTAGGGCTCTCGGGTCTGAGAGAAGGCGACTTTCGCTTTATACTTGTCGGCGTCGAGATGACGGCAGAGATTGGCAGCTGGCTGGCTTCTTTTGTGTGCAACACAAAATGGCGTGACTAACACAATCGCGCAAGCTGCGGTTGAAGAGCATTTGCTGTTAAAGTGTGTTTTTGCGAATTCAGGGCAACTCCCAGAACAGATTCTCCATTAATTGATATGGCGCGACAAATGATGAAACTATTGATTTCGGGATCTCCTGAATTTGCTCAATACAAAATCCAGTACAACATGTTTTTCTCCGTCATAAAAAATAATACTCCGTTTATCATCATAGTATCGATATCCTCAAAATGAAAGCCGTCTTTCGCCATTTTGTAGTACGTGCGAATACACTGCTCACGGCATCGTCGCCGGTATAGGTACATGTATGATGCATTGCTCTATCAGCGTGTTTGATAGCTGGCGGCGTTTTAATGACCTCATCGGTGTTAGCAATCTAGTTGTCCTGTTAGGGGTGCACTTAAAAGGGTTGTCAGATCGTCGAACTCTGAAGATGATATGGATTATCTTTTGTTGGCGCTGGAGGAATAATTCTTCTTGGTCACGCAGAAGGCTTTGCTAGCTCAAACTCGATACGCCATCACTACATTCGGTCTGCCTTTTTATTTTCGGTCACGGATGAACGTTATGAACAAATATCACTACGGAAGGCTCCTAAAGCAAAAGAATACCCGAAGGCTTCTATAGAAAAACTAATGCCGTGAGTTGCCCGGGAAGCTCTAGATATTACAGTCTCCTTTAGACAAAAACTAACTCTCCATTGCTTGTCATCGATTGAGATCTCTACCACAACGCACCAAAAGACAGCAAAAGCACAGGAGGCAACCTAGCAAACCAGGAGAGTTCTTCTCCAATCGTGAACAAGAAGAGCCAACCCGAGAAGGAGCCCAAGGATACTAGCTTGGTGC